TATATATATATATATATATACATATACATATACATGTGTATATATATGCATATACATATATATGTGTATATATATATGTATATACATATGTATATATATATATATATATATATATGCATATATATATACACATTAACTTTTATAGATAAATTATTACATTAATAATCAAGAGATAACAGACTTTACCTAAGCAAAAAATAAAAAAGGAATAAAAAAGTGAACTAAACCAAGTGCTGTTTGGTAACATGAGAAAAGACTCTTTGACTCTTTTAGTATCTGTTCATTAGAAGGTCGAGAACAGGAGAAGGTCCACGAGACGGCGGCAGCTCAGAAACTGTTGCCACCAGAGGCCGACGCAGGCAGTAGAATAATATCTATTCTTTTAATAGAACCTTCTCGTCTTTTTCTCAGCCTCTGTTCTCTTTCTTTTTCGGGGGAGGGAGTCCTAACGAGGAGAGTTGAAGCCCTCAGCAGAAGGAGCCACGCAAAGGGGTCAAGAGACTCCAAACATGACTTCTGCCAAATAAAAAGGAAGGAGCAGAGGGGAAGGAAAAGAAGAGGACGCCAGACACAAAAATAAAAACATGTTAAAAATTAAATAGAACAAAAAATGCAAAGTGACTCACAATTTCAGTAATTAAATGCATGCTATAAAATTACAACAAATCTGCTCTTGAGAAACTTAAGTTTTAAAGGTTAATAATTATAAGGGGAAAAAAGCAAAACCGCTAGAGTTTAAAGTATTACCGTTCTCATGTGTGTTTTTCTTATGTTTTTTCCTCTTTTTTATTTAGATAATCTTATCTTATTACATTTGTGAGACAAAACCAAACAGTCTACATTGAACAAAACTGCTTTTTTAAACAGTTTGGTTGATTTCTTTCTAAATATATAAATATGTGTCTGTATGTGATTTGTTTTGTTTTTAAAACTCACACAGCCTTAGTCATTTCTTTGTTTCTTTTGATTTTTAATGTGTTGTTCAAATTGAAAATGAAATCTTTAAAGGTGCCAAAACTGAATGATCCTATACTTGGATGCATCAAGTCCTGATGAATAAAATACGAACCCTAGGGGGAACAAATCGCCACGTTTCACCGCCTGTCTCTAACACACTTTTCCCAGCAACACCTTCCTGTTCCTCACAGCTAACACCTGTCTGTCTGTCACATCTGGATCCTCTTAATCTGACAGAGGTAATAACAAAAACAGCGAGAAAGCCGCGTCCATTTGTTTCTCCCAGGTCTGGACACGCCGCGAACAACGCAAAAATCGCTCATCTTGTTTTTTATTCACGTGTTTGGTGACGACTCAGCACGACTCAGCAGATTTTGGACGTCACACAAAGCAGGCACATGCACGCAAACGGCTGCAAACCAGGCAGATTGTTGCTGTTTGTGTGGGGGGGGGGGGGGGGGGGGGGGGGGGTGGGGGGGGGAGGGTTGGGGGTCAGTCTGTGTGTTCTCACAGCTTCACCCCCACAGCCAATCACAGCCATTCTGATCCTCTGCGTGGACCTGTGATGGACCCAACTGACCTGTGATGGACCGACTGACCTGTGATGAACTGACCTGTGATGGACCCAACTGTGATGGACCCAACTGTGATGGACCAACCTGTGATGGACCGACTGACCTGTGATGGACCCAACTGTGATGGAGCGACCTGTGATGGAGCGACCTGTGATGGACCGACCTGTGATGGACCGACCTGTGATG